AGGCCACGAAGATGATCGGGGGGCTGGAGCATTTCCCCTGTGAGAGTAGACTAAGAGATTTGGGGTGGTTCAGCCTGAAGAAGAGAAGGCTCCAGGGAGAACCTATAGCAGCCTTCCAGTGCTTAAAGGGGGCCTGCAGGAAAGGTGGGGAGGGACCCTTTATCAGGGAGGGTAGTGACAGGACGAGGGGTAATGGTTTCAAACTGCAAGAGGGGAGATTTAGATTAGATATTAGGAAGAAATTCTTGGTGGTGAGACACTGGCACAGGTTGCCCAGAGAAGTTGTGGCTGCCCCCTCTCTGGCAGTGTTCAAGTCCAGGTTGGACGGGGCTTTGAGCAACCTGGTCTACTGAAAGGTGTCCCTGCCCACGGCAGGGGGTTGGAACGAGATGATCTTTAAGGTCCCTTCCAAACCATTCTATGACTTTAATTGAATCACTTTGTCTTAATTTCTTGCTTTTTGATAAGCTGCTTCTTAAAAGGGCTAACTCCTCTCAGACGTGAGATACCTCAAACGGAAGAGCAGATTCCCCCACACTTCTGAATCTGTGCCAGGATACCCTAGGACACTATCTATTTAAGGAATGTCAACATGACATTACAGGTCCCTCATTTCTTTCCTGAAGCTGTCACAACAAAACGTGGACACACATTTGGAAGGGAGGAGGGAGACTGAGGGAACAGAACTGATTAAGCTGACAGATTTTTTGGAAGAAGTTTGTGATTATTCTTCCCACTAACTGGATACCGACCAGACATTAGTGCTTTCCCAACAGTAACAAATTAACTTACAAAAATGGAAGGGGAAGCTATGTGTTCACAACTAGTTACAGAGGTAAAGTATTTGAAGCACACACTACTGCTTTCTCTGTCTTTTCCCTCTTCTAGTCCTACACAGACAACTGTAATAGGAACATTAGAGCTATTTCAACAGACTCCCTGTTGCGTCAAAAAGGAACCAGGTAGGAGCAGTACATCTCCTCCCTGTAAGCATATAGCTGGCAGTAAAAAAGCCCAAGTTGTGTATCAACTTTATGATAAAAGCTTCACGTCAATAGGAGTGGCAGGCTCCACAGCACATGGTGACTGATCAGTACATGACGAAGGACTGCCATACAGACTTTCTGAAATGTATTTTTCACTGTTTACTGGAAATATAAAATAGGTACATAAACACTTTTAATAGGTAATACCTAAAATTAAATAAGACACACAGAGTACAATCGTACAGTTTCATTCTCCTGATACAGCAGAACAGTCCTGATTTGAAGCAAGGGCACAGTTCTTCCTCTATATTGATTAAACAGAGCTGGCTATCTGATTACAAACATTTCATGGGGGTTTTTATGTGCACACAGCATTTACACTTCTCAAAACAGCTTTACAACAGGTACTGTTGTACTGATGTTATAGTCAATCACAAGCATGAAGAATAATCTTTAATGAATGATCTTTCAAAATCCTACCAGAGTAATTACTTCAGCATGTCTACATTAAGCTATTGGAAAATAAATCACACCAGAATTTATAGCTTAAGAGCTATTCTGCAACAACTCTTAGACCATACCAAAAGCATCTTGAGGTTTGATTTAATATACCTCTCTGAAGGAAAACAAACTTTTTCCCTCATTTTTGCCACATAAGTAAACTTGGAAAACACCTTGTTCTGCTTCTGAATGAGAAAATGCTAATTCACTGACTGAATACCTGCAAGTTATTCATGTACTGGAAATAGTTTTCTTCCCCACTGTAACTTCCTGCAGTGTTCTTTTCCCCAACTGCAACACTGCAGATTTAGTATACAACAACTCTGGGACTTGGTAATATTTGGTTTAATAAAACTTAAACCTGGGTAAAAAAAGTACCACAGTAAATTTCAAGAAATACTTACATTCACAAGCAGCTGCTATGAAACGGCAAGCCAAATACGGAGGATCACAAGAAGGGAAGAAAGGTTGAACTATGTAGTTAGCAAAGGTGATGGCAATAATTGCCTGGCTAGTTGGCTCAACAATTAAGAGTGAGGTCCACAAACGAATAAAAGCAATGAAGCTCCCAAAAGACTCTAAAATATATGCGTAGCTGGCTCCTGACTTTGTAATAGTGGTTCCAAGTTCAGCATAGCAGAGTGCTCCAAAGACTGAAAAAATCCCTCCGATTGCCCAAATTACTAGAGATAATCCATAAGATTTGCTGTAGATGAGAACTCCTTTGGGAGAGACAAAGATACCTGAACCAATCATGTTGCCTACTATAAGGCTTATCCCATTTATCAAAGATATTTCTTTCTTCAGTTGCATTGTATTTTGGTTTCCATCCTGCGTTTCACAGCTGTCACTTGCATCTGTCCTGTCTGATTTACTGACGGGGCTGTATTCAGCCAATGAACTATGTGATTTCGTACAATCTGTCCTTTCTCCCATTGTAGAAAGACTGTGAATTCTCCACGACTCCAAATCACAATCTAAAACAAAACACAGACAGCTGAAATAATTATAAAATTTTTTATCCCAGGACTTTCTTGCCAAATCTTCTTTCCACCTTTTTACCCTATGATTTACAAATGTCAATCGAGAAATTCCCTTTTGTTGCTTCATATGTTTTCATACACAAAGGTAAATTCATGCATAGTTAAAATAAACAGAAAAACCAACACACACAGAGCAAGAGACAAATTTCAATATAACTTAAGCTGAGAAAGGAATTTCTACCTTTAGGGGAAAAAAAGCCCAATGAACAAAAACCAAACAAAAAACCCCACCAAAACCCAAAAACATAGGAAGTACAGAATTAAGGGATTCCAATGTTGAAAAGGAAGAAAGAACAGATAGAAGTAAGGTGAGACAGAAAAGCAAGCACTGTAAGAACAAGCTGGAAGTTCTAAGCATGAACATAGATTTATTGCAGTACTAAAAAAATTAATCAAATCATTCTAATTTCACATGTAAGTTATGAATGAACTCGTAACAAACAGGGCTGCACATGTTGTTAATGCAGTGTGGGCTCTTGCTAAGGGCAATATGAAGAGATACTTACTCCAGAATCCGCTTGATCCAACTCTTGACTTTTACTGCTACTATAGTACGCTCCCTCCCCAAAACTGTTTCCAATTCCCACTGCCTAATTTCTTGGACTTATCTAAGAGTGCAGGCTGTACATAAAAAAAAAAACCATAGTACTTTCAATCCAAATTCCTCCATTAGCAGCTGTATTTAATAGTACCTAAGAACACAGACACGAAATAGACCTTTTCCTCTGCTTCAGAATTGACCATTTGGAAAGGAGTCACCTTCTTCTCAAGTCTCTAGGAAATTCTCCCATTCCTTCCAAAAGCAAGTTACTGCTAATAACATTTATTAGCACAAGAATATACTGATAATTAGCAGTAATTCTGAATAAGGTCCACTTTATAGAAGTTCCAGTAAGAAATAATCTATTCAATGAACAGTCTTGTATGAAAACCAGCTTAAACTGCAAACATACCTTTGATTACTAGTTTATCAGCTGCATAATCACTAGAATGCACTACCATTCCTTTGCCCTGCCCCTCATTAAACCCTCAGTGTATACTTCAGCCATTTACTATAGAACAGAAAAATTAAAATGTCTGGGTCAATTAGAACAAAGCAGCTGATCTAGCCGGGGCGGGGGGGGATATAGTTTTTCTGCTTTTTTGGGGTATCACCAATTTTATAGAGCATTTTATTATTCCAACAACAAATTTGTTAATTAAGAGAACAAAAAACCTGAGTACGGGGATTTTGAAAGGTCGGTATGCAAGCACCCAAACTACTTATATCTGTGCATCTAGTAACATAGGAACGTACAAGGTTTTGCTCATGCAGCTAGAGGCATACCTTTTTGGAGGGAAAACTTAATAATCATACACGTCCTTCATTATAAAGCTAACACCTGTATACTACAGTACAGAAAATCTGACTTGATGTGCCTGAACTAAAATAGTTTTAAAGATGTGAAAATGTTAAAAGATTATTTTCAATCAGTGAAAAAGCAACTTCACTGAAATGGAGTACAACTCATTTACTGAAACCCATTGCATTGTTCCTCTCCAACTCGTGAATCTTCTAGCTTTTTCCACTTTAAAATAGAGACAGTGTTCTTTTAGATAATGTAAAATGAGATCCTCAATCTGTTTAGTCAGATGTCTTCTGATTTATTTTCTCCTCAATATTTCAAAGATGGTTAATTACTAAATACATATTTTATCTTTTATACATGAGTCAGCATCTTATCTAGTGTCACACATACATCACAAGCCATCTAATTTCACACTTTTAATTAGACTAAAAATTTTCAACCTTCCAGAAACTAAACGTCTGCTATTTCAGAACTTAAAAGCTTGAGTGTTATAATAAGGCATCTCCAACAAAATTAAACTAATTAGAAGAGAGGAATCCACACAGTTTCTACAGATGAGTGTGCTCAAAACTGCAAAGGAAAAGGAAAGCAAATTCATCTCACCAGTAGTTACCGGTTCTCCTTGTTATTTACTCTTCCATCTATCTTGTGCCAAATTCAATTGCAACCACATACTGACTGATTTTCTGTTATTGGTGTAGTAGAGCTGTCTTCAAAAGGACGTGTGGCCTATGAGCTTGTAAGATTATTTGGTTTGCTTTACAAGAGAAAGTTCAGTTATTACTGTGTAAATGAATATAAATTATTATAATAATCAATTGCAAACATGACACAATCATCAGAAAGCATAACTGCATAAAACAGCAGGACAAATAATCAAAGCAGATGTCTTCATGACTAATTTGACTGTAAGAAGTGGATTTAAAGAACACTTGTGACACATAAAAGCAACATGCAACTCCAAATTGAGTCTTTTCATTTCTATTTTGAATCTGACAGGACACTAGTTGCAAACACATTTCAGAATGCAAATCACTCTAAACAAGTATCAGTGGAAAAAATAAGAATACTACACCTATTATTATGACATCCCACTGCCAGTCTGAAAATGTCATGTTCATCCTCAGCCCTTCCAGCTAAAGGATAAAACCGAGTAATACGTTAAGAATTGACTCGTGGATGTAAAACATCGTTTTGGTGCTAACTACACAGCTTTCCGATTCCTTACTCCACATATCCTAATCACCATTCCCATTTCTTCCCAAAACACCTTTCAAAGCACAACTTGCTCAGAAGCATAAACATTACCTTGAATACTCACGCATTTCAATGATTTGATTAGATGCAAATCAAATTAATCATGCAAATCAAATTAATCATTCAAATCAAATCAAATCTGATGTGTTCACACACAGGCAGTTTGCACTAAGAGTCACCATGATTTACCTCATGGTCTGAAATTCAGAGGTACTTTTAATCACCTGTAACTACAGACCCTGTCACTGTTCAAATGCCTCCACCTCAATTAGCAGCATGTGACTGCAGTTCTATACAATTTTCTTACTGATGACCTTGACTGTTTCTTGCCCTACTGTACTCTACCCAGGAAAGAACCACCACAGTATCTCTCAACCTAGCTTGTTTTGTCCCCGAATACTCTTTCTTCCTCTCTTGAGTCTGCTTTTGCTATTCCCAACTTCAGGTATCTGCTGACAACTACGATTTGCATGAAGGTGCGTGCAACAGCTCACACAAGATTTGGCATTTCATTCTCTTCTCTAACCTTGTTTGGTTTATACCCTCAAAGCCTTCACGGCAGGAATTGTTTATTTGTCTGTGTCGCATGTCTTGTTACACCACCTCTATGACAAACAAAACTATTGGCAGGTTTTTTCCTATAAGCACTTCATCTTAACTGGAACTAAATTCGGGAGCTTTGACCAACTGAAAAAAAAAAAAAAACTACAAAGGAAGAGAGAGAGCAAAGACTAGAGTAAACTGAAGCTATGTCAAAACTAGCAATATAGAGAAAAAACCACATATTAAAAACCATGATTTTGTCACAAGACATTACTTCTCTGGAAACAGAAGACAGGCTTGGAAGAGAAGAACCAGAGATGAATAGTATATATTTTCTAACATATGATAATCCTGTGATACTGCAGCTGAAAACACTGTTAGAATGATCTCTAACACTGCCAAAGCCTTGCCACATTGCTGCAATGGCTAATGCAGGCTTATGCCTTCTCACAAGCTACCACGTGGATTTCCTCATCACTCACCCTTGTGCAATACAAAGTCTTAAACTCTTTTTTTTTGCTGATTGTTGCAGCCGTGAGGAATCTTTTTGCTGATACGTGTAAGATTTTTAACTGAAATGACACTGCTGTTGATACAGAAAGCTTTGGTACAAAACCAGGACAGAGTGACCCGAAACTAGAGTCACTTCATTGTCTCACCAGAAATACATATTCTGATAAGGCCTATTACATTTTGGCAGTGTACCAAAGGAGCTAACGAAGGTTAATATACAGTTAGCAAAGTACTAACACCACATTACAGAGTGGCCCTCCTTTAAGAGAAGGGGAAGAGGAACCATCTGCCAAGATCCCCTGTCTCCCACTGAGCAGGACAGCAGCTGACCCGTCATTTGTTCAACCTGGGGTGAACCTGCAAGTGAGGTAATGACCAATGTGAAACACCCAACTGCTCAAAGCTTACTATGTTCTGCTTACTCTTATACAATACCTGCTCGTTAGAAAAGATTTCTAGTGTTCTTGCCTCTGTCTTCCACAGTTGTCTTGATTGCATAAAACAGCTCCTGTTGTAACATAGCTTTATATTTATACTTCGACTATTCCTATATACCAGCTGTAAAACTCATATTTCTGAACACAATGATTGGCTCTTCGGATAGGAGTTCAGATTGCCCTACACAGGCAAACAGCATGAAAGTCTTCAGGGAGTTAAGCACCAACAGAGCAAAGGTTGTAGTTCCCAGAAATGCCTATTACTTGCAATGCGTATATTTAGGCACCTTACAGTCTGAACATTTAAGTGGGAAAGGCTTAGAGTTTGTCTAGTACGCATTTTTCTCATTTCTGTTAAGAAAAGAATCACTTCCCTGCTGTACATACAGTTAGACAGGAAGCCCTTGCAACAAAAGCAATTCCCAATGTAAAGATTAGATCCCTGTTCAACCAAGTCTTTGTGTTGCATACACAGACGCAAAAGCCTTAGCACTATAAAAACAACATAAACCTTTGATCAAACAGAACTGTTTGTAACATCCCTTTTTTTTAAGAAATGACAAGGTGTGTTTATCACAATGAGGGAAAGACCTATAATCAGCTCACAGATACTTGGTTACAATGTCTCAGAAGCTTTTCAAAAATTTCAGGTCCCAGTCCTAGACAAATTTACCTCAGTACTCTTCAGCTGTAACTTACAGCCACACATAATCAGATTTGATTTAATGTCTGCCACTTAAAAAACACATAATCAATCAAAACCACTACTAAATGCCACTAAGCAAGGACATGCTCACCTGAGGATGTTACTAAACCCACTTCAGTTCC